AGTGCCATGAGAACCTCTGGCTCTTCCCCCAGGGCAGCTCCAGCCGCTGCTGTTGATTTCCTCCAGAGAAGGAGATGCCTAGAACAGGGCACCTCCTCACTCCATGGACTTGTCCCTGGAGGAAAGGCATAGCTCATGCACAGGGACTCATCCACTCTGTGAAACACTGCCTTAGTTCCCAGCTGTCAAAATGTCCTCCCCAGCTCCCTGGTTCCATTCAGCTCCAGCAAGAACTGGCAGCGACTCCAGGCCTCGCTGGGGCTCTGGGGACACAGGGTTGGCCAGGTGCTCCCACAGTGTCAGCACAGAGCTCGCCCAGGGACTGCAAATTCATACCAGACCCAGAGTAGACCTGCAGTAAAGGAACAGACTGCCTTTGAATGTGACTTTTATTGTATCTAAAGTTACTTGCAGGTCTTTGCAATGTCACACCCATTTCTGCACTGATGTCTCTGGGCCGTGCTGAGCAGGGCAGCTCAAGCCCTGAAATACCCTCTTCACAGGCTGGAATGTGATTTCTGGTCCAAATGGGGATTAATGCCCTCAGAAAAGGAAACTTTTGTGTTCTGAAATTCTGCTTCTGGACACTTTGAAGCTGCTGAAATCTACAACATATATTGCCATTTTTTATTTATGACATGCACTAAATATTCACTGCTAGAATAGGACAGAAACTAAAACCTTCAATATTCTGTTAATTTTATTTCATTGGTTAAATCACTGCAAAGTATTGTTGATAGAAATCTCTTAGATTTCTAGGAGATAGAAATCTCTTACCTTCCATGCCTTTCAAAGCATCTCATTTGTTTGTGCATAGCTCCATCATTTGAATACCAAAGGAACCAAAAGCAATTCAGTAACTTGTTTGTAGCAGATGTTCTTCAAGATCTAAGCATTATGATATCACAGCTTAGTGCAAAATAATATAAGGCAAATAAAGTCAGGTAAATTTTTAAAAGTCTGAAACAAAAATTGATAAAAATTTAGAAGTGTTTTTGAAACTCAGTTTGTAATACACATGGATGGGTTTTTCCAAAAAGTTTTCCTCATTATCAGTTACAGAACAGACAGTGTGCCTCCCTCCTGCCAATGCCCACCCACCACAATGGGTATTATTCTTCTTACTTCTAACTGGTTGGTGACAAATGCTCTTCTGTAACAGCTTAAGCTGTATGAAGAAAACAAGGCTTTGGTAATTCTTTGTGTTCTGAGTTCTCTAGAATTTAGAAGATTTGTTCAGACAGAAAACATTGTGCTGACATTTATCTTTGTGTATATTTACGCTGTTATATATTTTCAATTTATATTGCTTTATAAGTAAATCAATAAGATAATTAGAACACAAAGGTTGGATCAGTTTCTGTGAAAATTTCAACAAGTTCAATTTAACCCTGAGACTGCAAAATCAATCTTGGATTTTTTTTTTTTTAATTCAACAGTTTTCAATAACTTATTATTCTTCTGGAAAATCCTGGATCAGCACTGATTAACATTTCACAGACATTTTAACAACAAGATGACTGGACATTACTAGCAGTGGGCCCTTCCCCTGCATCCCTCACAACATCAATGTACTCACTGCTTGGCTCTCTGCAGTGTAAAGAGCAAACACTGAGATCTGGGGCAGTGTATCCCTGGTGTGCTCCATCAGCCGAGGCAGAGGGAGCTGGGGCTGGGTTTGGGGATGTCCCCTTTGCTGCAGGGAAGGGAGCTCACAGCTGCCAGGAGCCTTCAGGCTCATTCCTGTGCTTTGTTATCTGGGTGAGGGCAGTGGCCGTGCAGGCCCATCCCTGCAGCCAGAGCAGAGCAGAGCAGATTCCTGCCAGGGGAACTCTGCTCTGGTGCTGTTCCCCTTCTCCACTTCATGGCTGCTGCTGGCTGTGGGTGCAAATCCCAACAAGAAACTTTGGAAGTGTCCCAGGTTCTAGAGGAAACGTCTCCCTCTCCCCAGCACCAGGAGCCCTGTCCACCCCTTGCAGAAGGCCTTGTCCTGAACAAGGAGTGTGGATCACCCCACACCCCACAGGCTCCTCACAGGCTGCTGTGCTCATGGACAGGACAGCAGGTGAGTGCCCAGGAGAATGTCCCAGGCAATGTGACAACTCACCCTGTGCTCAGGAGGCACCTTCCTGCCATGGGGGCTTCCAGCCAGAGCCCTACAGCAATTCCAGTCTCTACAAGAACAGATGGAGAAAGAGAGACTTTTCCTTGGCAAGACAACAAGGGAAATTTTAACAGAACAATCTGGAAATAACCACATCCACTGAAGCTCAGGAGATCGTCATTTCCTTATTTCCCACCTCCTGGAGGGTGACGGGGACAGGGGTCCTGTTCATAGAGAACCAGTCTCTCCTGGCCAAGCAGCAGGGGTGGGCCCATCATCAGCTCTCCATCACACAGAATTTCTGCTCCTGCAGCTCCCATGCCCAATCCCACAGAGTGCAGATCTGATGTGATGAAAGGACTTCATGTGCCAACATTTTCCCAGCAAACTCCTCTCTTTCCAGTTTGCTGGACCTGCATCGTTTAAGCAAAGGTTACAGATTTAATGTCTCAGTAAAAAAAAAAAGGGCTATTATTGGATTCAAAAGTAATCTTGCACATGCTGAGCTGTGGGGCACACCTGAGGCTCCCCCAGTGTGCTCCAGAGTGAGGGACAGCCCCTGGGCCAGTGCTCAGCTGCTCCCTCCCCACCACCCCTCCATCCATCAGGGTCAATGCCCTGGACCCCTGAAGCAGCAGGATGAGATGCTCAAACTGCAATAGAATGGGCTCAGCATAAAACCAGAGCTGCCCAGCATCTCACAGCAGTAAGTCAGGCTTCCCCAGCCACTGGAACAAACCTCAGCCAAAAAGCGAACAAAAAGCCTACGCACGTGCTTGGAGCCCCAGCCTGCCTTGCCTGGCAGCAGCTGGGACACGTCCCAGGGAGAGAGAGGTGCTGGACAGGCAGTTAGCACACCTTCTTCTTGCAGCAGGAGCAAGAATTCCAGTCTGGCATTGTCCAGAGGGCCCTGCTGTCTCTGGGAGCAGGAGGCGCCTGCGGGAGCGAGGGCTGGGCAGGCACTGCAGTGACACCAAACCACGTTTCACACAGACACCTTTATTTCCATATTTCTGCATGGATGAATGTTCTTTTTCCTGGGATGTACTGGTAGACAGATAATACCCTACAAAATGGAGTTTAGCAAATATATATATATATATGTACACACATATATATGTAGTCTGGCAAAATCACTTCTGCATTCCTCAATGTGTCAGAACGGATGCTTACAATAAGCCAAAGCTGAAGGGACACTGATGTTTTGGGTTATTTTCTTATCTATAACATAAAATAGTATTTGTATTTTCTTTTCCAACATGATTGTCTGTTTTCCTGCTTATACTTAAGCAGAACTGCAGAAGAGAAAAGCCAGGCCTGTAAGCTTGCAGTTTTCACTACCCTAAGTTACTATCAGCGGTGCAGGTAGAAGAACATTTCTGAACTTTACACAAGGGCCAAACTATCAGCTCAGCATATGCCACCACATCAGATGTAAGAGCACCCCTGTATCAGTGATGCAAATACATCATTGGCATGTAAGTGTTAGCTCATGGCACAGTTCAGTTTTACAGCCCCCACCCACACAGATATGTGTTTGAGTCCCAGTTTTAAAAGCTTCATTGCAAATTTTTAACCTAACAGTGTCCCCTGAGAAAAAATACATACTGGGTCTAGAAAAGGACACCCTCCTACAGGTATTTATTTTTATTATTAAAACCAACATTTTTAAAACCATTCAACAAAATTGAATACAAATTGCCATTGAAGAATAGCATTTGTAACAGTGAAGCTATACATGGCTGATCCATTAACATGGCTTTAGATATCATAATTTACATTATTTGCACATTTCCTTAGGTCTTTCATGGCACTTCCATAAAGAAGAAGAAAAGTTTGACGCACTGCTGCTACTATCTCATCAGAGGTGACCCAGGGATACAAGGGTGTTTGATCTCAACACATATTGTAGTCAGGAAATGGCTCTGCCCATGATGCCTGAACCTCAGGGTATTTGTGTCTCAAGCCTTTAGCTTGGCTCATGGTTACTCACAATATTGCATTGCATTCAGAGGAATAGAAAAACAAACAGCCACAGAACAGGCATGGTACTTTTTTTTTCCTTTTTTTTTCTTTTTTTGCATTATCATTTATCACATTCCTATTTGTCAACAGATTGTTACCTAAAATGCATGTTAGAAAGGCTTTCTTTACAAAATGCTGGCATGAAGATGCAGACTAATGTTTGTAACTAGTGAAACAGTCAAGAGTCCTGATTCAGACATTATTTAAACGTTCATAACTTGCAGGAAACGTGCACAGTTAATAGCACTGACAGAGAATCTGACTGCCTTCTGTCTACTGGCAGGAGGATGGATGAGGGTGGGAGACTGGAGTAGCATAGTGTGTTTTATTTAGAAATCTGTAGTAGTGTTTGTCATAAATATTGCAAGCCTCATTTATGAGAGCAGAGGCTTGGCAAGTTTGCAGTAGAGTAACATTCACAGAAAACATGAAAAACAAACCCAAAGCCATTTCCATGCAGAGAGCAGCTCTCTCACAGTCACTGATGTCTCACCTGCCAACTGGAGCACACCTGCCATGGACAGATGCTGCTGATGGAAAGCCCAGAGGCCTTCTATGCACTGGTGCATCTCAGCCTCTGGCTGTAACAGTGGGATCAGGGACAAACACAGGGAAATAATTGGGTTTGCAATGGCAAGGACTCTGCCACAGATAGATTCTGCAATCTGAGCTTTGGGAAAATGCAGCTGTGGGTGGCACTTTGCAAGTCCTCCTGTCTCAGCTACTGTGGGCTTCAGGTGCAGCACAGAGCTCAACCCAGGGTGGAACATCAGGGCTGTGTGGGAGGGCACTGACTCCAGTGGGCTCCAAATCAGAGCTCCTCATCCTCCAAGGGCAGACTCAGTGTGGCTGTCAGCATGCTCCTCTCTACCTGATGGCCCCTCATGGTTGCTGGCAGTGAAAAGCAGGCACAGTGGAGCAGCAAAGAGATGGCAGAAGTGCAGGGTCAGTACTGGCACCCTGATCAGCAATGCAGGCCAGCACACACTGACAGTGACAGCAGCTGTTTGCTGCTGAGCTGGAGCCACACCCCAGAGAAAACAGCGACAGCCCTGGTGACAAAGGCAGCCCCCACACAACTGCTGCCAGCAGGCCAGGAAACACAGATGAGGCCAAATTCATCACAGTAACTCCAGAAATTAATTTAGCTTCAGGGACTGTGGCATCATGCAACTAATAACATTTTCTTTTGAAAAGGGCACATTCCAAACACTTCTGTCTGTATGTGCCATCTCATAAGCACCCTTGAAGCAAGACTATTAGAGGAAAAAGGCACGGTGCTAGCCAGATTAAAATCCTTAATTTCCACTGCTCTGACCACTTCTCCCTTTGCTGAAGTGAACTCCTTGGAATAATAGATTAAGCGGTTATGGTGGGAGGGAAAACCTGTAATTATATTAAATTCTGTCATTTGCTGAAGTGATTGCAAGAAGAATCAAGAAGGAATGGTGTAAACTGTGTATTATTTCAGCTACAACTGATGTCTTTACAAAGTGCCTGTTAAATAAAGCCTACATGACCCAACGACTGGAGGAAAGGTGCTCCCACAGCAGGGCATCCCTCCTGCAAATCCCAGCCCCTCACCAGAGCTGCTGCATCACTGCTGGGAGGAATTCATTGATGGTGTTGGTATGAAAGGCAGTATTTGTACGAAACAAGACAGACTAAGGTGTCATTCCTGCAGACATGTAACTTTACTTGAACACCACTTTTGATGGCAAGGGAACAACTTAGAGAAATAAAGTTAAGACCACACAGAAGTGTATGGAGGAGCACAGTAAAAGGGGAAGATGCCTCGTCTTGGGGAATTGGCATTATCATTATACTAGGACTGATCAGATCTACTTCTGTAATCAGGAATAATTCAATACATGAAACTTTTATAAAATTAGGGCTACAGAACTGAGGCATTCTGTATATTCTGTATTATAAAAACGTTCCACTTACATAATTTTTAAAATATATCTTCAGTGCTAACATTTGTCTGTAATACAGTGTGTGATACAATAAAAATAGATGCTTACTGGATGGGAATGATGCAGCACTACTGCAGGGACTGTCCCATCTGTGGGGTTTGAGCAGCTGGAAGATTTAGCTGTTCCCTTCTTCCCTTTGCTTCTCAGCCACTGTCTGCCTGGAGATGACAGTGGTACTCTGGTGGGTCAGCTTTCCTAAAAGGCTTCTTCACAGAAGACTCTGACATTCCCCAGCTGACCAGTCATCCAATCTTGGTGTAAATTCGCTACATGAACTTTTCTGTTTTATTAATTAAAAAATCAAACCCCTACACCAATACTCTACTTGGCATTAGCAAAGAAATGGGGCTTATACAAGGCATACTACTGCCTTGTAGGAAAAAATATGGGCCCTGGGAGCTGATTCTGAGGCTAATACCAATTCAGGAATCAAATGTGCTGGGCACTTTGTGGGTACCACGGTCTGTATGCTGGAACACAGCTGCATCTTAGTTCTTCACTAAGTCAAACAAGAAAGCTTAAATAAATCCATAAGGGGGGGGTAAGACCCGACTGTAACATCCAGTGATGAACCTAGGAGTGTGTGCCAAACCACAGCAAAAGGACCAGAGCACACGGCCCTGCTGCTGCTGAGATGCTCTGTGGAGCATCACCCCGTGTCCCTGGGGCTCAGCAGGCAGCTGGGACCAGAGCTCGTGTTCATCTTTCTGCACCAGCCCTTACACACCTGCCTGGTCTCTTGGAAACCTACCACTCCTGAACAGGATTTGGTCTGTACTTTTATATTAATATGTGCAACATGTTCTGCTCCTTTCTGACTCACCCTGGCATGAAGATCAGCTGATTAATATGTTCAGGAAGAACTCCACTAACCTCAGCATAGTGGCACCAGTGCATGTGAGAAGACAAGCAGGATCTCTGCAGGAATGGGGATACTGGCTACATGGGCTGTCTGTTTAATGTCCCAGGTACATTGACTGTTCATTTTTTCACAGACTGCCCTGGCAGACTGGGGTTTTGTCAAAGCAGATTAACAGCAAAGGCATCCACAGAACATTATGCCAAACAGAGGTATGGACTGAGCTGTCACTTGCAATTGATGGCTGAATAGCTATCAACATGTGCTATTATAGGGAATTAAGCTTGCTAGATTAAAAGCAGGATTTGTGCCTAGCAAACAATGCTCTGTATTACTCATTGAACTTCGAGCAGCAGTTCTCTCTTGTCGGGATTTAATAAAGTATTCACATGCTTCCAGAATGAAAGAAAAGTCCACCAGCATCTTCCGGGGAGAAGTGGTGGCATCGGCTGCATTCAGTTGCCATTTGGTTGGACATATCGTACAAAATCCTCACACACTGGACATGGCTCAATTGGAAAATCTTTCACCCAGAAAGAAGATCTTTGTTACACAGAAGTCTCAGACTCCTCCAGTGCTCTTCTGGTTACATGACGTTCTCAAAGAGCTGTAAGGATCGCATGATATTGTCGTCCTGAAAGCAAGGAGAAGATACTGCCATGAAATCAGCATGGACAAGCACAATTCATAGCCCTGCCTGGCACAGGGAGCTCTGCAGCTACTCCAGCAGTCAGCAGCCTTGCTCTGGGAATGCTTTCCCCTTCTGGGGCTCAGTGCCCAGGCCTGGTTCAGCACAGCACCTCTTGTGCTTTGGCCGGGTTGGTGTGAGGCACACCAAGCACAGGGGCTGCCCCTGAGCCTGATGTCCAGCACAGCTGTGCTGGGCAGGGCACTGCCAGGGTGCCTGTGCTCAGCCCTCAGAACCCCTCCCTGACCCTGGGTGTGCAAATGTGCTCCTGGCTAATGTGCTCCACAGGTCCAAATGGAATGGCAGGTTTTGAACCAACAAGCAAACTGCCTTGAGGGAGCACTTCCTGCCAGAAATTGCAGTTTAAACCCAAAACACATGCAATCTGTGCAACCTCAGCCTCTCCAAAGTTCCTAGAGCCAAATGAGAAAGTTACAGACAGACACAAGGGAAATCCTGGATTATTTCTCCTGAAGTATTGGAATTTTACTTCAAGATAAGAACCAGATTAGTATTCAAAAACATAATCATGGTTCTTTTCCCCTCAGGAATTCAGTTCAGAACACCTGTTTGCCTGTAACATGAAAACAATTTTCCACATTGAGTAGTTTAAGAGATCTATTGCACTGCATTCCTCAGTTGTTTTGTGAGGCTGCATCATCCCTGTCACTGCTCACTCAGCAGCAGCTGGAAGCCAATCAGCCTCTCCAGGGTCGTGCCAGGCCTTCACTGTCCTCAAGCTGGAGCTGCTGCAAAGGCACAGGTGAGCACTGCTGTGCACTTTGCTTTGTTTTTCATAAAGATAAAAAGAATAAATCTTGGTGTGGCGGGGCTTGCTTCTGCCTGCCAGGAAACAGCAGCTGGCAGTGCATCAGCCTGCCCAGCTCCAGTGCCAGGATGGCAGAGGGAACCAAACCCAAACAGGGACAGAGAATTAAAACTCTAACAGTTATAGGTAAAGTAAAGCTGCTTCAATAGTGAGACCACCTGATCACACACACACACCTACAGGCAAGTTACAAACATTCAGAATAATACACAACACAAATGATTAAATAAAGATGGTGCAAACAAAAAAGCCAAACAATCAGGAGGCACCAAGAACAAAGTAACTGAAAAACATTAGCTTTCTGTTTTGCATCTGCTAAACAAGGATTTGGCTGCCTGAAGTCCACGACTAAGACTTGGATGTGGCCAGAGCCAGGTTTGACACCAAAGCAGCAGAAGCCAGCCCAGCCCTCCACAGTGAGCATCTTCCCCTTGCTCAGGGACAGGAGAGCTGTCTGGCTGCAGAACTTGAAGGAATTTTCCAGGCTACATAAAATGCACAGAAGGGTCAATATGCAATTCGGTGCACCAAAATAAACATTGCAAAAGGCAGAGGTTACCTTTTACACTATTATTGTAGTGGTCAAATATTAGAGATATCTCAGAGTGAATATTCACACAGTCCAGGTCTAAGACAACAGACATTAGGCCAATTGCATATTAATGCAGATGCTTCTTTGTGCCAGTGCTAAAAGTACCAACAAATCTTAACACAGCCAACCTCATACATGGAATTTGTAAGAAGGGGCGTACTTTCAAAACAGAGGAAAAATGAAAATCATTGCTACAATGACAGCATTTGCTTTTAATGTTTGACCATGAAAACATCAACTTGTTTTATAACTCAATGCTGTAATTGCAAGAATTTGAGACACTGTTGACTCTGGGCAGTTCCAGCAATGTGGTACCTGATAATGACATCTGGGGCAGCACACAGGGACAGCAGCAGACTCTCAAAGTGAAGGAAAAAACCTCAAAAACAAACCAACAAAACCCCAAAACAACCTAAGACAGTTAAGAGCTTTCTCTACAGGTGTCTGCTTGTCTGTAGAATCAGGGACTGCAGTCCACTCAGGAAAATAAAAGCACTGCACACAAAGATATCATCTCCCATATTCTGCCTCACCCTACCTTGCTATTGAGTCACAGGCTTCACAGGGCATCACAAACTCAGTCTTGAAGCTGTTTTGGTTTGGGTTGGTTTTTTTTCCACAGAGCAAAGAAAACCCAGCATCCTGAGCAGCACCTTGTTTCAAATAGAGTTTATCCAAAGGAAAGCAAATGATGTGACATGAGATAGAGCTTTCCTTGCAGTTATAACTTAGTTCTTACCTCCTGACATGATTCAATAAACTCATCTAGAGTTACAACTCCATCTTTGTTTTTATCCATTTTCTGTAAAATAAGATAATGTCAAAATTAGTTTACATTGGTAACACTATCGTTGCAGTACAGTATCTTAGTTGATGCAATCTGAATAAAGCTGGGCACTTAAGCTTAGCCCACAGACTAAGTGGCCAGTGGCCAGTGCTGGACTGGCCAGCTGCTAAGGACTTGTTTACTCTGGGATTTGGAGCACTTTTGAGGTCATCTCTAACTGCTTTCTTGACACACACCAGAACCTCTGTCGTTATTCCATCGTTTATTTATTCACTGCCTGACCGACCCACACCCACATTCCTGTCAGTCCTTAGGGCAACTCAGAGAAGCAGCACAGCAGGCCTGCAACACATGCAGAGGCTTCAGACTTACTGGACGTGGCACATCCCAAGGCAAAGGGTCAGGCTGAGAGACATGGGAGATACCTTTGGAGCCAGGAAATCAGCAGGCATTGCAGTGCTAGGCTGAGTGGCTGCTAGGGTTTATTTTGAAATATATAACAAGGTATGAGACTCAGCTTTACAGGAAAGTCTATCAGTGCCTAGTCTGAGTGTTAAGAAAAACCAATAAAAACCCAGATACCTGGAAAAACACTTCTACATGCTGCCTTGGTGCATCTTCCTTGAGCACTGGATACGTGTATTTTCCCATCATATCATAAATCGCCTTTACGATATCCATCATTTCCTGCCATGGCAGCATGCCAGCACAAACACAAAAAGGAAATTAAGAGAAATGAGGGCCCATTTCTGTCTTGCACTGCCCTATTCTTCACCCTCCTTCTCCTATGACAAACCAGCACCTGGAATGCCTGTGCATGTGCATGGAGACAGATGGACCAGACACACAAACATCCTACAGAAAGAATTGCTTCCTTCTGCCCCCACAGTGCCAAATGCTCCCAGTGCTCCCTCCCTTCCCCTCCCCTGGCCTGGCTCTGACACAGCAGGTGCTGGCAGCAAGGGCAGCCAACAGTGGCACCAACCCTGTCCCAAGGGCATCCTCCAGGGCCAGGGACCCTCACACTGGAACTGGTAATCCGGTCCCTCCCCACACCTTGCACAAATTGCCCCTCAGCTCCATCACTGGTGGCAGTAACTGCAAACCCTCCAGGGAGGCACAATGGGTTTGAGTGGACCAATTTGTATTTGACACATATTCAAGGTCACCATGCTCAAAACTAAGGCTTCCCATAACAGGAACAAGCAGTACCAGCTAAGAAGAATAAACCAGATGACAATGCAGGATTTGGTAGTGGTGCTGCTTCGGATGACCCCCACAGTATCTCCTTGTGCAGAAAGCAAGCCCTTGAGCCTCAGTCACAAAGTTCTGCCACCATCACCCTCCCCTTCACAAAGCTTATGTGGCTCAGAGGTGTAACCAACATTTTGCTCCTGGATAACACAATTCATTAAAGGTAATATAGGAAAATATGTCTAGAAAATAATTCAATAAGACCACTATGCATTTTGCTTCCACACAGACAAATGCATGAGTCCACTCTGATTTGTGTTTAATTAGCTGCATGTATAATTAATTGTGTTTTGCAACAAAACCAAATCAACTCTCCCAAAATCAACCATATTTGTCAGGAACAGCCTTACCTCCTTGTTTATATAGCCATCCTTATTTATGTCATACAGATTAAATGTCCATCTCAGCTTTTCATGAACAGTTCCCCGTAGCAGAATGGACAGTGCCATCACAAAATCCTGGTTTGGAGCAGTGAGAGAAGTGAGAATTCTCATAACATCATTTTCTAAGTCACCCTCTTCATACAATACCAGTCAAAAGATTTATCTTTTTAGGATGGAGCATATGCTTATCAAACTCTTCTGGCCTCCTTTTCCAGAAATGTGTCCTCTCTGACTGAACTCAATGGCTGAAGCATTCACAGAGATGTCTGGTCTTTAGGAGCACTGCCAGATGCTCTAGTGGCCTTTCTCCTCCCTGCTGCAGGGACCTGTCACTCAGATTGCCACCACCTGATTAAACACAGCTGGACTGTGCCTGTGGAAGTAGAAGCTGGTGCTTTCTAATCTCCTGACTGAGGTGCTGGCAAAGAAGAGAGAAAATCCCATCTGAGAGAGAAAATCCTTAACACAGGGAGCCCTAGATTTTGCTCTCCGAAAAAATCTACCAGACTTGACCAGATGTGATTCCCACCACTAATTACTCAGTGTGGGACACATTATTTTAATTGGTTTTCTTTGCTTCCAGTAAAGATACTGCTTCTGATAAGTGTGATTTATTAATTATACTGCACGGTGGCTCAGGCACTGAGAGTAGCATAGCCACAGGGGATTTTTAGCACAGGCAGAGCTTAAGGCTAACAGAGTTATACAGCTCCTGATAACTCATTTAATAGCTTTAGTCACCTCCATGAGCTCGGCATGGGGCAGTGCAGCACTGCTTAGATACCTCTGCTCCTTTTTGCCAAGCCTCTGAGGAATTTGAATTTGTTGATAAAAAAGGGCACAAAATTCTCATGTTTGACAACCATTTAGAGACAGATCTGCCAGGAATGAAAGGTCAGCACTTTCTAGGTTTGGAGGTTTTTTTGTTTGTTTGTTATTTTAACAGCATTTTCCCGTTCTCAGATTGTTTAGGTTTCTGAACACCTTCAACTACTGAGGAGCTGCCCCATGCAAACCTCTCACTGCAGCCCTTGCCACAGAGACACACAGATACAGATGGAAACATCCCCATTGTGCATTCAGTGAGCAGATACCTTTCCCAGCCTTACCTGGAAATCAATAGAGGTTTTGGACACTTTGACAGCAAAGGTAAGACTGCCTATGATTTGTAGTTTTATAGTTTTATAGTCTTCAAAACTATGAAGTTTATCCTCCAGAAGTCTATGATTTAATACATCCCTTTGCTGCACTCCTACAGCTATGGGCTGAGCATGAAGAGAGGTTGTTTGTGGCCACTGCAACAGGCCTTTTAGTTAAAGTGTGCATTTAGTTTCCAAGTACTTGACATGCTTGTTCAACACATCATGCAATGCAGAAGTATAAGATGCAAGTTTTCTGTGTCCCTCATCTCATTTCACATGGGACTCTCCTCAGCCACTCCTCTCCTTTGCACTTTCTCCCTCTGATCCCAACTAGCACAATCGAGATATTTCTTTACTGACATGGAACTGCATCTGCATAAACTAAAGTGAACCAGATTTCAAAACACTGACTGGCTTTAGACTGAAACCTCTAATCTTTAATCCAACATGTCCTAGTACTTTGCAATGAGGACTGCACAAAAAAGGTTAAAAACACAAAATTGAGAAAGTGGCATGGATGGAAGATGCAAAGAATCACCTCAAACTTCACGGAGCCATTCTGTGCAGTGTCGAAGGCATTGAAGAGGTAATGTGCATACATGCTGGCATCTGAAAGGCACAAAGGACAGGCACTCATCACACACTGATGGTTCTAAACAAGTCAGGAATTTGTTTTCCTTCTGTATGCAACTCAACCCTGACACATTGCCAGGTATTCTATGAACTATTAAATGTTACCATGGACTTGCAAAATCCTGGCACCCTCCCTTAAAACAGACTTGAAATGCAAAAGCTTTTATTACAGTAGAAACTATTTGGATTTTGGAGCATTACCTGAAAGAACAAGCAGGAAATTCCCATCAACCATGAGTGTGTCCGGTTCAAATGTGGGAAACACAGCAAAAACATTGAAGAGTGACTGCAATCTGCAACATCCTTTCTCTACCTTTTTGTTTTGTGGGAGACACAGCAGAGACTTCCCCAGGAAATGCCCAGCTTCAGAAGGGTCTTGCTCCAGTTACTTGAGTTTGACCCATGGCTGCTGGAGAGCAATCTCACTTAGAGGTATATTTTTGTCCTTTTGAATCTTAAACTGCTGGGTTTAGAAAATCATGACAGGAAATCATCAAGTTCATAATGAAATTTAATGCAAACCTTTTACAGATGTATGTCTTTCAGGTGCCATGGGTTGTAAAACATAAGCATAATGTGTTTTATTTTGACATTTAGTTGAAAAAACACTTGTTAATGACCTTCTTTAAGTAAATGTACATGCACACATACACCCTAGCAGAAAGGTTTTTGTTCCTCAAAGACTGTGTTCTGCAGCTGCTACAGAGTGGGATATTTTGGAAAGCCTCAAATACTTAATCTTGGCTAAAAGCCACTGAAATGACTAATTTCTTTCAATTTGTCAACAGCATCCCCACAAAACATATCCAATTAGAATATATACATTCTTGATGTTTTTAAAAGGCAAGAACATGTATTATTTGAGAGATTTCATACAATACCTTAATATGCCTATTCATGACATGGTCCTGTCTTAGTCACATAAACACCAAAAATTATCATTTCAGGTATCCAGGAGTTTACTTATTAACTAAAAACTGCTTTAAGAATTTTAAGGAGGTTTGAATAATTTTCAGGCCAAAAAGAAGTCTGAGACCCTCCTGTGCTAGACACTACATGCCCAGCAGTTCAACAGCCGGGAAGCAGAGCCACACACAGGGGAAGCAATTCCCCTTTCTGCCAACAGAAAGTCAGAACAGAACAAAACACCAACCCCCAGTTTCTATTTTGGACCTGGGGAATGCAGAGCTGACATTGAGAGGCAATATTTATGGGGGTTTTTCTATGTGAAATAACTTCAAAGGCCTAAAATTTTATTCCCTTGATGTTTGTGTTTCTGTCTAAAACCCCTCAAAGCTTCAGCTTGATTCCCATTTCTCGCACAGATGATCTGCAGCAGTTTTGCAGCCAGCTGGCATTAGGCAATGTTAAGGCTTCAAGAATCCTGACAGGCACAAATCACTCCACTTACCTCCATGAGGAAAAAATTGTGCATAGATCTGTTTAAATGTTTCTTCATTAACAACCCCACTGGGACATTCCTGTTGGAAAACAAAAGGAAAAAAAGAGAGAGAGAGAATCAAGAAAAACACAGGTTTGTAAAGGTTCATTTGCAAACTCTACAAGCCCAAAGAGAGCAATGAAACAAATCACCTTCCTGTTCTCACAGTGTTTTGCATGCACAGGCCAGGCTGTGCAGCTGGAGAAATTAAAGTAATTCAGATTGCAGTTTCCTCCTAAGCATCTCACAAAGCTGGCTCACCATTATTAACATTTCTAACTGTGTTTTCAGCAGTTTCATTGCTGTTTCTTAATCCTCAGCAGCAGACTGTAGCCAGGTGAACAATCCATAGCACACTAGTAAGTCCTTACAAACAAACCTCAATAATAAATACACCCCCACCAGCTCAGTGCTGCTCTAACATACATTACAGAGCCTTGGGCACTGCTACCTATCCATGTGATGTTTTCAGTTAGAGAGAATACTTCCCAGTTGATGGCATTATTCCTCAAATTTGCCTATCAACCAATTTTAAAAATTAAACCAATAAAATAACCACATGACTCCACCTTTTTCACAGAGCACAGAATTATGGACACAGAAAAGTCAGCTTGCTCCCACACTGTGAGGCACGGATCAATAGAGACCCTGGGGTCGGTGTCCTGCTGCAGCACTGATCCCACTCAGCCATTCAATTCCCCAGGCTCTCATCGGGGAGGGAGGAGGGAGCAGGAGTGCTGTCCCTGCTGCTACAGGGGCTGGAGATGGATTCTCTGAGCAGGCTAAATCTCTCATAAACTCACACAACTGGCATGTATGGCCAGGCTTGATGCTTATACTGACTTGGGGGGCACACTTGGGATCAAGTTCCTCTGTTCCTGGAACTACACTCACGCCATGCATCCTTCTCTGGTCAGGCTGTGACCCCTGCCTCACTTCAACACAGGTGCTTCAGCCAGGAAACTTCACAAAATATAAATAACAGTTTGAACAAGGAGCCACCAGCTTTCCATTCTTGGAACCTGACTCCTACTGCTTTGCCTGACAGTCCTGAACTGCTGTTTAGACAGAGACAGCAAAAAGTCAATCAGACAACTTTTCTATGTGCCACTTGTGATTTCGTAGGCTGCAAGATTTCTAGTTAGATGACTATTCTCAAACTGTTCCAAAGCTCCTCATAAAACATCTGTTGCCTGGTTTCCTTATCACAGGAAAAGTGGTTACTTTTTAATCTGTAAAGCAAAAGTCATCAAAGGAAGATAACTAAATAGAAGCTAATAGCTACCATAAGAGATTCTCCCAAATATTTCCTAAACATACATGTTTTCTGAAGCTTGTAAGCTAACATACATTAAATAAATCATCTGATATTTATTTATGATATCTTTTAATCATTGATCAGGCTCAGAACCATATCCACAGCCACTCTTGGGTAGCAGTGTTCTCCTTGGTCACTGAGCTGCTGTTACTACAAGATTGCACAGGGCCCTTGCAGAGTACTTCTCTAAACTGTCATTCTTTTTAAAACCAAGCCTGGCACAATTGGCCCATCCTTCCAGCACAGTGCTACATCAAGATTTATTTCCTTCTCTCCTTGTGATAAGACAACTGCTGCATTCTCTAAGAACCACAACTTCACCTGCTGAGAGATGGTTTGCAGTTGAGGGACTGATCATTCTTTTCTCTGTGTTTCCCACAAGTGCAGAGTCCCTGAGGCCCCTTCCCTCTGTTTATTGCCAGAGGTGTGCACGTGGCTGCTGCTGCTGCCCGTGCTCTCCCACAGGGCCAAGGGCTACCCTGGCAGTTGGGCCATTGGCCTGCTTAATTTTCTGAATTTCTACATGATCCTTATTGCTTCTGATGCTCCATCTGGAAGCCAAATGAAAGTTTGCATCACAGCTCTAGGAGTGCTGGGGAGAGGCAGTGCTGACATTGATCAGCCCATTTAGCTCTCTATAACTGGATTGCTTTCAGACACATATGCTACTACCAATTTATTTGCAGTTAATTGATCACTATTTTTGTTTTATAAGAGCCAAATTATGCTCCAGAGGCTTCATTAGTGCTACAGTACTACTTAATTCTGCTGACTCGAAAGAAATCTCGCTTGTGACACAGAGCAGGTGAGCTTAGTGTCAATTAAAATTCCACTGAAGTTAATAAAGATTCACTCATTCAAGAAAAAATCCTTGTCGGTAAGGAGAACACAGTCCTTCATTGTAGTATTCATAAGGCTTTCCTTTGAAAGCAGGGCTTTAGGTTAACCCTTCTCATTTCCTTAAACTAATAATTTTTTTAAATGCCAAACAGTGAACATTTTTTTTTGTATTGCCATCAAGCACAGAACAAATCCCTCATTTTCCCAGGGCTGACTATCAAGCTCTGGCAGCACAAGCTGTGCATCTGAACTTACCCTCTTCTTTTAAATCACTATACCACAAAGGAGCTGAACCCATGTATAAACCAAACACACCAACCCACAAAACCAAAAGGAAAATAAAACATAAATAAAGCAGTTGCATTTGTCCTCTGCTGGAATCAGAAATAAACTTCACTGATTGCTTTCAGAGCTGTGCAAAGCAGAGATGCAGGGACCACAGGGGAGCAAAGCATGCCCTGCCTTTCAGACCCTCCTGAGTTCAGCTGGCCAGAACATGAGGATGAGCACCCAGGGCCACCTTTTGCTAAATTAATAAGTTAGCTGACCACAGACAAAGGCACAATCCAGATTTGCATCTCTAAGCACTCACACATTCCATGTAGTTTGTTGCTCTATGTTCTCCCACTTTGGAGATGTTTTGGGGATTATTAAAGTATGAGAACATTTCTCCCTTGCTTGTACTGCTCACTTTAACCTCCATAATCCTGCCTTTTTTTACAATTACATCTCATACTACCCTATGTTACAGATTTGCTAAAATACACACACTAAAGCAAGGCAAGGATGTCTCCAGCAGCCCCTCAGTCATTTGGGCTGTCTGTTTCCTGATTCAGTATTGAGAAATTATCCCTTGCAGCTAACAAGCATTTCCCCTAAAAGAACAAACCCCCACACTGAGCAAAAAACCTCACAAAACCTCCAGTTCTTTTAAATCCATGTACTCGATTCCAAAGAATGCAAGCCATGAAACATGGCCTAAGTGGAAGATCCTGAATTACCAAATTCAAATCTCTGTATAGCTGGTCACTTCATTAGACATCAATTTATCAATTTTAATAATAAAAATACTTCCTTGTTCTCCTCCCTGCAAGTCCATGACTGGCCACCAAACTTTACTCCTCTGGGGGGCAGAAGCTCTCTTCTAATTCCAGCCTATGCCTGTTCACAGCCATTCTGTTCCTGTGCCAATTTTGCTGTTTAGCTCAAACAATTCTGGTGCTTTCGTAGACAGAAGGCATCACATTTTCTTTTGTTAAGTTGTACCAAGGCAAGACCCACCAAAGGCTCTGATGGGTTTGCTTGTAACCTTGCTTTTTTAGAATCCCAACCAAAGAGATGGGACCAACCACCTCATGTTAGTCTGGCTTCAGTCTTACCACAGCTAACAGAGAGGTGCCAAGGAGACCATTCACATAATGCAGAATCCTGTGGGCAGAGGCAGCTGCTAGGTAAATGTGAACTGTTGGTCCTGCAACCAAGAGATGCTGGAGGGTGGCACACTCTCACAACTGGAAAAGCAAGCTGAAGGCAGACAGAGGGAACATTTGGCCAGGCAGCAATGATACACGCCTGGTTAGCATGCTTGGCTTCTCTGGAGATGAATTTATTGGCATCCTCTGTCACTGTGGGGCAAAACCACCAGACCAGACCAGTGACATCCTCAGTAAAGACTGAGATAATGTGGAGGGGGAGGCGGGAACAGAATTCAGAGACACAGAAAGAACAGGTTTAAAGGTACTGAGAATTAGGACACTGGTCAGACAAGCACTAGTCAGAGGCCAGCCCAGGCTGTGCTAGCTGCCTTTGGTGGAACATCATCCCTGCTCCTGTGCACTAAATCCTCTGCAGCCAGGACCTCCATCCCTCTGTCCCCTACACGAGTTCCTGCAAATTGCTCTGTGATTATCCAGGTATTGCCTTGTGATTAAACAGGACCTGTGCAATAATCACTGAGAACAAGCAGTGAGTATAAGCCAGGGAGGAAAATTACTGTATTCCCACAGGGATTTTGAATCTCCAGATGGCACTGTAACATCATCCCAAGGAACAGACTGTTTGGTACAATAGCAAATAGGGTAACAGATGAGCCAGTTTGCCTCTTGAGCATAATTACCCACCTCATTGAAACCAGGATTTGCAGGCTACCAGTGTTAAAGCTGTACTTCCATGTCAATTTAAACCTTACATATGAAACTTTGTGTATATTGTACGCAGATCAGCTGGATAAAACCAGCCTGCTTTGTCCTAATATCCAGATATAAACCAAGACCTTGCCACCACTGCCAATTAATACCAAGACCTTCAGTGATATCCTAGGTTTAGGTCACAAGTTAAATGCCCTTGTCTGCCACTACTGCCCTGGGAGGTAATGTGTCTGTAGTGCAAAGTGCTGGCAGAATTCAAAAAGGCTGGGGGTAAATGTCCTGTGTGCTGAGAGTGCTCCAGGTCTGCCTCACGGGTTTGCATCTGCAGTTGCAAATCCCCCCAGCACAGGGCAGAGCTCTCCCACGCAGGATTCCCACCTGACAGTGACACAGAAGGCACGGTAAGATCTTAGCAAAACTGGGTTTAACCTCACTCTGTAAGCAGTCACATCATATCAAGGTGTTAACCTGCCAAGTTCTGTCTCAAAAGCCATGTGATTTCCTGCTGGCTGGCAAAAGCATAAAGAGGTACCAGCGTTCAGTTAGGCAACTTCACACATGAAATGACCTCCTGTGTGCAGCAAAGCTGCAGAAATATGCCACACACACTAAAAAAAATACAGAAAGCTGAGCTGTGCTTTGGCCCACTTAGGTGAGCAGAGAAATGAAGGGTGAAACCAACAGACTCCTTGGAAAAGTCAAATAAACACTGGAAATGTGATTTGATCAAATTTCAAAAATCTGTAAATAATAAAGGCCCTTGTCAAAGTCCCACAGGTTCCTCAGAACTGCCTGTATTTAAGGCAGCCCAGCTTTCTTTTGACAAGTTTTTACCCAATAGACTTGACTGAGAAACTACAGCATTTTGCTGTAATGGTTTCTAAATGCTGGAGCTGTCCTGCAAGAGAATATAAAAACAATTCTGTGTTTATTGAGCCAGTTTGATTCTGACCTGTTAATCATCATTAAAACATCAGCTGGCACAAACCACCTGGGTGACTAAATCCTGACCCTCAGGCAAACATGTAATGAGTACTCATTCTTCAAGGTGCATAAAGCATCTGCTCCATGCAGCCTCCACATTCCCCATCCATCTCTGCTGACTGTGAGGAGCCCTGAGAGGCAGCAGCAGAGCCAGGCTGAGGCTGGGGCTGCAGGCTCAGGGCTGGAACGGGGCTCACAGCCTGGGCACGGAGTGCTCTGCACACCCAGGCACACAGCTGGCACTGCTGCCTGCTTGCCCAGCTGTCTGCAGCCTCCCCCTGCTCTCCTCAGCCTTAACACACACCCAACTTCTGGTTTCTCTTTAGCTCCTGCCACTCCAGCCTTATTCCCTGCTTATGCAGGACCTTAAAGTCCTACAGTGCTCTTCTACAAGAGCAAGATTTCTGCAGCTAGAGAAGGGATGAAATGTCCATCCTGGGCTCGTAATCACAAGTGAACAGTACCACTCATATTTGAACATGAAGAGATGAAAACAAGGTTTAAATAAGTAGCCATAAAAACATTTTCAGGTTATCTTCAAGTACTGGCACAGCTGAGGAAATTGAAGTGTGCTTGCTGACATTTGGGGAACAAGTTTAATGAGACCATTATGTGCTGAATATTCATCCAAACCCGGTTTTAGGCAGATTGCAGTGTCATAAATATTAGATGGAGAGGCAGATTGTGCTCATTTTCTGTGGTAAGGGAGATCTTATACAAAACTACTAATGCTTAGCAGGGGAATAATACATAATCAAGCTGAGCAGTTGAGGCTGGTGAGGACATACATATTAGACTCTGTTCATTGCAGTACTGTTCTTACATTTTTAAATCCTCTGTAAAGAACTTGAAGTTCTCTTTTAGTGAAATTGGTTTGTGCTTCAAGCTGTTCCAGTCCCTCGGGTCTATGGCACACTGTCGTCATTTCTAATTCATCTTCAATTTTATCTGAAAGAGAAGACAGGAAAATATTTATTTTGGTTGTTACCCTTGCTCTTTTAACATGATGGATAGGACAGACTGGATTTCAAGAGCAATAGATCAAAAAGAAACCACCAACAGGACTGATCTGTGTAACTGTTTTTAACCTCTTGAAAGCAAAATAAAAGCCACAGGAGTAAGGCAATAGCTCATGTTTCTTCCTGGGCTGCCAATTAGCTGCCCATTCACAGAGCCAAAATGGTGCTGAGAGCAGCAGGATGGCAGCAGACACTGCTCCAAAAGCAGCCACAGGCATTTCATAGTAAATATTGAGACAGCGTGGAGGAAGGGCACTTCTGAAGTACTGGCTGTAGCTTTCTAGCTGTGCAAATATACCAGGGAGAGCAGACACGCTCAGGGATATCAGACAACGACCTTACACTGGGGTTAAACACCGAGGGAATCTCCTCTGTGTGCTAACCAAAAAGCTTGCTCTAGAGACATTGAAGATCACTTTAGTCCTAGGAGAAATTCAAATTTTGTCCACAGTTGCAGAATCTGGAATTAATTCAGCCAGGATTTAGAAGGACTTTTTTGGAGAAAGGGATAAAAATGAAAAACACTTCTATGCATTTTATTCAAGAGAGTGTTCTTCTACAAGGAAGAAAGATACTATCACACCCTGATTTAACATAACCTCACTTTATTTTTGATGCATGTTTCCCCCTGCCAAGCCCATCCCCCAGCAGTGCATGAAATACCCAAATACATAGATATTTAGTGTCCATCAGTTTGAGATTCTCTAAACTTCAAAGACCAGATCCAGCCTTCAGCTGACCTGAAAATCCAATCCATACCCAAAAGCTGCTTGGCATAAAAGCAAACACTCCCCTTATTGTCAAAAACTGCACAATTCATATCTTGTAAAAACGTTTTAGGTTATTTGGCTCAAGCATAATATAGTCATTTCTGTTGCAAGCCAACAATTTAAATGGAAATTTGCAAGGAAACGGAGTTACTCTGAATAGAGGAAAGGCATAAATTCAGAGCAGACTAGCTTAGTGAAAGAACAGCACAGACCAGCCCAAAGGTGTATTTCATAAGCTAATTAATTTTGCAGAGATACACACACACACACATACATATACACATATTAAATTGATCATTGTTAAGGAGGGCACATGTCAGTAAATGCTAATGTTTAATTAACATTGGTTCATTTTGTCAGTATTAAGAAACTGGTTCAAAATATTGGTGACTTCAGCCATGCTCTTAATCCACCACATCTGCAACATCTCAGTCAGCATCTGTAGGCTTGAACAGATAAAATGTGTTCCTGAATCCTGTTCGGAAGGTGCCTTGCACAGCAGGGCAGGAGGTGAGAGGCTGTAAGAGCAAGGAACAGGAGCAGAGTATCAGCTGTTCAGGATAAGGGAAAAGGGACTCAGGGCTGGCAAGGGGCCCAAAGAAGCCTGAAGTACACACCTTGCCCACACAGAGGGAAAATGAAGAGTCTAGAAATTACAGCTCCTGTCAGAAGAAAGGAAATGTAAAAGGATGTCTGCTACAGGAAAAAGTAATTTGAAATAAGGGGGGAAAGCCATTTTCTTTGCAAGAGAATTCATGACACAAAACGAAGGAATGTAGAAGCTGTAAAGAGAGAAAATTGTGGGGAAGAAATTCTTTAAAATGAGGGATGAGAAATGAGTGGTTGAAAAAAGGAGAGAAAAATCCACCTCAATAGTCCTCACCCTCCACAAAGATTTGGGTTTTTTTGTTTCCTTTCCGTGCTCGCTCTCAAGTCAGCTCTTTTCAACCTGTTTCTTCCACCTATACATTAACCACAGGAACTTCAGTGGCAAACCAGGAGATTGGCACTTCCTCCTCTGCCCTCATTTTTATCACGGGCATTGTATTTCCTTTTATTTGCATTTTCATTATCATCCTGGCTCAGTCCCTCCAGCTCTTCAGAGGTGTCACTATGAAATATGAGCTCTTGCATTTATTACAACTACAGTTTTATTAAACTGAAGTTCACTGAGGGTGGTGAGTGCAAGCAGAAGTGTATATACATAAACATATGCAAATTTAAACTTCTGATAGGAATGGTGTTAAGATATTTTATCTAATACCACATTCTTCCTCAGTTTTGCCTTGTTTACAGTTTTCTCCTGAGAGATTCAAGCGTAGGAAACAACCTTGCTGCTGTTTTAAAGTTAATTTTCTTCTTCAATTCATTGATGCATGAACAGACCTTGGGACCAACTGCACACACAGTGAGGGGCGAGTGTGGTCACCTCCCGGCTCAGTGACACCTGTACCTGCCTGGTTCTTACACCATCCCTGTCCTTTCCAAGCTGGCAGGAAGGACATCCCTGTGCTGCTGGTGGAGACACACACTCAGGGGCTGGACACCATCCAGCTGCTCAGTGAGAGCTTGAACTTTAGCAAAGCTGGTTTTTTTTTCTTTTTTTTTTGGGTTTTCCGTGTTCAGTAATCAGGGGGAAGTAGTAAATAATGCAGAAGGCTTCTTCTGCTTACAGGTACTGATAAATGGTAATTTATTCTTTTTCTGTTTTTATTTCCAACACTTGTTGAAATCATCCCAGGATGAATCCCTTCCACACCAGATGGCTGCAGTGAGTTTTGTCCTAGGCTGAGGATTGTTTAGCTGGTACAGAGCATTCACTTGGTGTTTTCCTTACAATGTGTTTTAAAATGGAAGAGTGGGATGTGGTATTTCTTGAGTTTGGATTTATTTCTGCCCATACTTTTGTGGCTGCTTTAATAGCAGGGTATGAGGTCTGCATCTGGTAGAATCACCTGCAGTAATCTTACTCTACTGTAGGCCCAGGTTAAAATAATCACTTAGGTTTGTATTTTTTGTGCAAAATAGCATCTGTATTTGCTTAGCCCATAGGATATGCACATTTCCTTTCATAATGGAAACCAAACAGTGACTTCACTTTACAAAGAAAAATAATCTTGACACACTTGCAGGTACATGCATATTTTAGATTGTTGCTAATGAAAGAGACTTTTTTCATTTCACTGTTCCCTGCTCAAGAGCACAGAGTGAATTTTCCTTAAGGAAAATCAGTGTTTAAACAGAATACGCTTTAGAAGTTACTTAATGATCCTTGCTTTATTCATCCTTTCATATTTGTTCCAATTTTACCTTTTGTTATCTTTAATTTGGGAAGTTCCACACTCTGCATTTCAGACAACGGTTTGCATTGGAAGGGACCTTGGAGATCATCTAGTTCCAACCCCCTGCCACAGGCCGGGACACCTTCCACCAACCCAAGGCCAATCTGTGCTCCATAAAACAATGGTGTGTTGTTCCTCAGCTGCTGCCTGGCTCCGGGAGCGAGCAGCTGCCATCCTGAGCCTGCCCATCCCTGCTGGTGCCCTCAGCTGCCCCAGTACCCCCGGACCGTGCCAGGGCTGGGGCGCTGGGCCCGCGCTCAGGGCAAACAAGCCCCAAACAGCCCCTGGCATCTTCCTCAGCTGCAATCCTGCAGCATCTCCTGCCCACGCCCTGCCAAATGAGCCACAGTGACGTCTCATACAGTGCTGGGCTGGCCAAGGACAACCCAGAGCCTAAAACAGTTTAAACGATGACTTTAATAAAGATGTAAATGACGCTGTCCCCTGCATCTGAAGGCTGCGAGGTGAAAATGCAGAACACCAGTCTCCATGGTTCATGGGAGGACTTTGAAAACAAGTTGCTTATAATAAATTCACTTTTTGTTAAGGAAAACAGTCAAGGCATAAAGTGCAGTTAATGTGCCCAGTGTTAATTGTAAAACTGACAGGCGTTAGATGAAATGGGTAATTTTACAAATACAGCTGAAGGGGATTAAATTATGTGCAAGAATTATTAGACTGCATCTTACTTTTATTAAAAAAAAAAAAGCAGCTATATTTTAGGAGCAAGGACCTGAACAAAAAATTAACTCTAGTTTACCCACGATATACTTGAAATTCATCTCCAGACAGAATGTGCTCTTGGGCAGGTCGCGCAGAAAACAGGTCTTCCCCGTGGGAGATCAATTGCAAATATTTGGAAATTTCATGAGGAAAAATAACTCCAGGCCTGAGTGTACAGGTGCTCACTGGGGCAGGAGCTGGGCGAGAGCTTTGGGGTGTCCCTGGGACCCCGAGCCCCCGATGCCCGGCCCCGCTGCCCGGCAGCTCATTCCTGGCTGTGCCGCGCGCTGGCCCCGGGCACTGTCCCGGCCCTGGGGCCACCCCGACCCGCCTGGCACAGCCCGCACAGGGACAGGAGCTCACACCCAGCTGAGATCCCGAAAACCGGCAAGGAAAATCTGCTCATGGCAAGCAGCAGTGAAAAAATGGAACAGAGGTACCTACTGATGTATCAAATGGTAAACGCAACTAAAGTTGAACACCCATTATTACTATTTAAAATAATTATTAACATTATACTGCCTGGCTGGAGAGATCAGTTTCCAAAAGGGACTCTCTCCAGGCAATAAACCAAAAAGAGAGTGTTGTCTCCATATCCAATCCCTTTTTTCTGATAAGACTTTTTGACTCCTTCAGGTCTATTTTGAGTTAGATTTGATGGCCCTTGATGGCCCACAAATTCTGGCCCCCTAAACCAGAATATTCTGTGATTTTCACCACTAAACCAGCAACATCAAATTAATTTCACAAACAGCCAAGCCTAGGAGGCTGGTTCTGCCCGTGTGAACCTGCAACACCACCACTTGCTGAGAGAAGATACCTGAAAACCCATCAGTGTATAAAATTCTAAGATAAAAATAGCTAATAATACAAAATATAATTAGTAAAAAATAGATTTTTTAAATTTCTTGCCTAATCCTTACAATCATCTGCTCACAAGGTATAAATAATGTCCTCTGCCTCTCCTTAAATTAGTTTCACAGCTGTACACAGGGATGCAAAATCAACTTTATTCTCCAAAAAAGGAGGCACCAGAATTTTGAGGTACCTCCCAAATGCTTTTTGGCACACAGCTAAGATCAGGTACCATGGCT